GCTCCCTGCTGAGCACAGAGCCTGACCGAGGGCTTGATCCCAGGACCCTGAGATCATGACCTGAGCCGAAATCAGGAGTCGGCCACTTAACCGACTGAGCCACCAGGCGCCCCAGAAATGTGAAGTGTGGGGCAGCAAATGTAAAGAAAAGTATTGGGCAGCCAGGCCGAAAGATCAACTTACTTGTGAGAGGGGAAAGTGTGGCTGCTTCATATCATCAGTCAACACAGGAGAACAGGACAGAATCCTTCAGAAGTGTTGATGACTCCTCCACACTCAAGGATTTTATATTCAGTGTAATTGTTAAAAAAAAAAAAAGTTTTTTAATGTAAGATATTGAAAAGATTATTCCCATGAACCCTTCTTGAGGAGTCTAGTCAAAGACAAATTGCAGACCCCAAAAGAGCACTAGAGAAATTACAGCAAAAGAACTGGTTATGAGCACATAATCTGTTTAATTGTAGGTTATTAAAACAAATTTAAAGAGTAGTGCAATAGAACAGAATGTAAAGGTTATATAACCTGACAGTGGGAAATTAACCAGCCAAATTTGGGAGGAGAAAGGGAAAGAAGATGGGTGGTAAAGTAAGAATGTTCTCTTGTCTTTAATAGCTAGGGTTCAAAGAGCATCATTTAGAACTAATAGATAAGCTAATAGAGGTGTAGGTATATTTAAAAGTACAAAGCTAAACAGGAAAAGAGGATATAATGGGATAAAGGGTAGTGGAGGGGTGGTGCAGGAGAAGAAAATATCTTAATTCCATCCTTTCTTATAGGGGATTAAGTAGATAATGCCTAAAGAGATAAGGTTTACAAATATTAATAAAAGTAACTGCTAAATAAAAACATAAACCTTATCTTAAGTATCAAAATACACCAAAAGAAAACAGTCTTTAAAAAGAAAAACAAAAATAATTGATAGAACTAAGGTCAATATCTGTCATATCAATAAATATAAATGGGAATTGGAGGTCACAAGATGGCATCCAGCAGCTTGGTCGTCAGGAAGTCAAGCCACATACTCCACTGATACAGACCCTTTAACAGTAGAGGCACCGCAAACTTCATATTCCAGAAGTGTTGAGGACCCAGGAATTCCATCTCACTTCTGGATATTCACTTTATACAGATTTGTCTCCCCTCAGCCAGCTACAAGGAAGTGTTTGGTTTAAGGAGATTAGCTTCATTCCTTTGAAAAAATTAAAAATCCCAAGCCAATAAATAAATGAAACTAAAAAAAGAAAAAGCCAAAAAGTCATTTAAAGTGAATAGTATATTGGAGGTTTTGGTGAAGTTCTTAAGAGCTGTCACTGGGCTGGGGTGCCTGGATGACTCAGTCGGTTGAGCCTCTAACTCTCGGTTTCAGCTTCAGGCATGGTTTTGGGGTTGTGGGATCAAGCCCCACGTGGGGCTCCACGCTTAGTGCAGAGTCGGCTGGAGATTCTCTCTCTCCTTCTCCCTCTGCTTAGGTGTGCTCTCTTACTCTCTTTCTAAATGGACAAATCTTTTTCTAAAAAAAGTTATCACTGGGGACCAGGAAAATAAGATATTTTATTTTTGGAAGCTCCTAAAATATAAACAAGCCCTCATCCTAAAGTATTATAATATTTGGTCCTTTAATGTGTGTGTCATGGCATCTCTGCTTCACCAGCAGAACCAAAGCCTTATTTATTCTTTAATCTGTGGTTTCATGAAGATTGTGTGTGTGTTTAACTGTCATATACGTGAGGATTCTAGTTCAGATGCATTTAGCAGTCTTTAGTACCACCCTCCCAAATCTTCAGTTTGACTCTCTGAGGTTGGAAACTCACAACACTGAAAGCAGGCCTAGGAGGCCACTTACTACTACTAGAGTTTACAGAACTGATTGATGGGGCTGGATTGAACGACACACATGCAATGCAACAGGAGTATCAGCCCTGCCAACCTGAAAGAAGAGAGGAAGACCCGTTGCCTTCCTCGTGGTCTACCTCCTGGTTCGCCTTGGTGGCCACCCAGATTCCTCTGCTTTTAACAGCAATCCTTTTCTTCCTCCAGCTTCCCATTGGCTCTTCACTCCTACATCCATTCAGAGATTCCTGCTCTCGGCACACGTCTGAGCAGTGGATGAGGATGCTTTCTTCAAGGTGCCTGTTAGTAGCAGGGAGGCTTAGACAGGAAGCACCCCCTACATTAGAGGACAAAGCACTCCTGTCATTCAGGCAGAGCCATTTCACCCGAAAGCACGGTGGGCTTGAATGTGAATGTATCAACCTTCCCCCCAACTAAACAATACATGAGTACTCAGCAGAGCTGTGAGCACAACTTGGCTTTGGGCAGATGCTGGATCTAGGTAGAATGTTGATGTCAGGTCATTCTCAAAGGTTTCCTGCCTAAGAAGTTAGCTGACCAGGCTGAGGGGACCCCTGCACTAAAGGCTGTGCCGTCTACACTGGGGAAGAAGTTGAGGGAGAATTGGGAAGAACCAGCTGGACGAGAGGCACTGCCTATCTGAAGCAGTTGCAGTGGGAGGGACAGAGAAGGATTCTCTGAAGAAACCACAAAGATGCGCCAAAAGAGAAAAAGCTTTAAAAATCCATCAGGCTCCAAGAGTGAGAGATCATCTAATGGTACCAGGCAAGTGAGAACTTCTCTCTGGCCTTTTCCTATGCTCCCTGCCTCAAACAGCAGCCAGCAGGTGGTGGGAGGTGGGGGAGGAGGAAGGAAAGGAGAGAGAGGCAGCCACCCCCCTTTCCCAGAGGCATGCTGCCCCTGCAGCTGGCCCTGCTGGTGGAGAGAAGTCTTCTTCAAATGAAAACTGAAGCGCTGTTAAGATATTGGACAGATTGCTTTCTTTTTGAAGTAAACGCTTTTTGAAAGTTAATGCAGAAATCCTAAGTGTACAACTTGATGAATTTTTGTAAATGTAACCAGCACACAGATCAAGAAATAGAACATTCCAGGACCCTGTAAGGCCTCCTTGTGTTCTCTCTCTGCCTCAGCCCCCCGCCCCCACAAAGAATTACTACAGTTTAGCCCAATTTGATCTTTATGTAAATGAAGTGGATTAATCATTTTTAATGATTGAATTGAGGCCGAATGTGTGACTTAATGAGTATGCCGGGTTGAATAATGTCCTTCCAAAATTAATGTCCACTGGAACCTCAGAATGTTGACCTTATTTGGAAATAAGAATCTTTGCAGATGGAATCAGTTAGGATAAGGTCATACTGGATTAGGCTCGGCCCTAATCCAATGACTGGCATCCTTACAAGAAGTCCATGTGAGGACAGAGGCAGAGGTTGGAGTGATGCAGCTACAAGCCAAGGACTGCTAGGGGTTTCTGGCAACCACCGGAAGCTAGGAGAGAGGTTTGAAACAGCTGCTTTCTCCCTCAGAGCCTCCAGAATGAACCAAGCCCCTGCCTCCACCTTGCTTTTGGACCTCTGGTCTCCTGAACTGTTAGAAAATAACTTTCTGTGTGTTTTAAGCTATGTGGGTTGTGGTAATTTGTTATGGCAGCCTTAGGAAACTAACAAAATGCAACTCTGGGACTTTGTGTTGAGAAAGAGTGGGCAGAAAATTTACCAGACTTGTCTCAGTTTAAAGAGTGGAGGAAGTAACTATTTCCATTAAACAGGTTTAAAGTGGGAAAATGACTTAAAAATCACTTTTTTGGTTACCCTGCAAGAATAGCTCTGCATCTTCAACCTACCAATTACAGAAGCAAACTGTTGGCTTACTAGAATATCAGAATCTTAAGTGTACAGCAGGGCAATGGAGGTAAAACTTGCCCAGATTTATTTCATGCACTGTCATTTACTACCAAGCTCTTTTTTTTTTTTTTTCTGAGTCAGATGTCCCCAAGCACAGAAACCTCTGGGAGTGGGTTCTTCCAGGAAGTTCTTCAGTGATTCTGATGGGGTCCTGTCCTGAGACCCACCACAGTTCACATACCCCCAAGTGATTGCCAAGTAGAGCTGATCACAGTTAAGAGGTCATAAACGCAAAACCACATATTCAGGCTTCTTGTGCTCTTCTGCTACTAGTCTGTCTTTAAGCCGTGTATGATTTGGTAGATTCAGCTAGCCCTGCGGACCTGGCCCACACTGTCCTTCTCTTGAGTTTTTAGTGTGCTGGGAGTCTGTGTGTCCCCAGTCCTTCAGCCAGCTGTGTACTGGAAACTATTTAGAGAAAATTAACATGTAATAAGTGAAACCAGCCACTTGGAGAAGTGGCCTGCCCTCATTTCATTTTCTGAGGGTAATTATAATTTCATGTTTTTGATTTATTTCTTATCACTGTCGTGCATGTTAAGTTCTAATCTTTTCATTGGGAAAATTTTCTTACATTATTAAATCAGCATGATAATATTCAGGTTTCCTTTAGCTTGATATATAAAGACATTTTAAGTGTATATAGATACCCAAAATTTATTATTAATCTCTACATTTTTTTTTTGCTTTTGTTATTGTTGTTACAGATTTTTTCTACAAAATCACATGGTCATAGCCTGACATTTTTATATGAAAATTGTGCCTTTGGTTGAACTAGAAGGCTCACTTCCTGTTTTTTGTGCATCATGCTTTATTTTCAGGTTCAGTTATGTATGCTCAAAACCAATACTGTTTTTCACTTCTCATTATATGTTATAATTTAAATGGAAAACAATTTTTTTCAAAAGGAGGTCAGGCACTTTCTATGATAGCTGAAGAAAATGTGGTCAAAAATAGCAATTGATGTTGTAGCTAAAATGCCCAGAGAAGCAACAAGACAAGAATCTAATCAAACAGAACTCTGAATATTTGGTTAATTGAGGATATACTCAACTGTAATGAAATTAAAGATTGTATCATTTCTGTGGAGACCTTTGAGAATGAGTTAGAATATCCATTTGGTTGGAGAGCTTTCACAGTGAATTAGAAAAAGAACAGAATGATTTATTATAGAAGCCAATCAGGAAACCTAGTCATTCTTCATTTTACTCTATCACCTGGGATTGTTTATCCTTTCTTCTTAGATGTTTCCTTTAGGAACATTTATTATCAAAACATGAGGAAATGTCAGGGATTTTAATTATTCAGTGGTTATTCAGCAGTTACCAAGCACTGTATTTGTTTAGGTTCCAGTTTTGTGAAAGTGAACAGAAGTCAGCAGCTCAGCCTGGCGCAGGGGAAGTAAGAGAATGAAATTCCACTATGGTGAAGGTAAGCCCAGGATAACTTGGGAACACATAGGCTTGGCCCCTCATCCAGATGGAGGTTGGGGCTATGGGCATAGTATGTTTGAGTTGTGAAAGATGAGGAAGAATTAGGGGAGAAGAGGAAGAAAGCAGGACCATGCTGTGCTCACTGAGTCACGTGGCCATGGCATGCTAGTAAGAGACGTGGGCTCTCCAGGAGGTTTTAAGTCGTTCGGGCAGCTGAAGCTCAGGCTTCAGACACCACTGGAACCTTGAATGCCATATCAGAGTCCAGGCTTTATCTAGGGCAATGTGGATCCCCTGAAGGATTTTACATGTACTCTATTTATGCATCATACATTCCAACTCCTTTTGAAACCAAACATTCTGATGTTTTTGTGACTTTGGATTAATAATTTCATGCATTCCTCACTCTTCCCATCCCCCATAGTATATAGTTTATCTGTTGAATTCAGATAGTAGTGACAGAAGGTAGACAGAACTGACTTTTGTCTTGTTCTGTTAATACAAGAGAATGGTTAAGTGTAATAGTTGTGAAGTGAGCAGAAAGATACTTTGAAATGTTTCAGGTTCTTTGTGGTCAGTATTTTTGTACATCCTGTAGAAATATGTCATTCCCTATATATTTTCAGGCACTTGTGAAATTTTGGCGTGTATGAATTCCTTTTAGGATTTGTGTGGATGTATTCTCATGATTAATTATTACTGAAGTAGAGGAAATGATATCAGCAGATGTGCAGAGCTTTTATTCGCACTGAATACACTATTCATTTAGACAAAAAGATCATTTCTCAATTCAAATCGGAATATTCTAATTTAAGGCCTAAATCAGTTGTGTCATAATCTCTATGGAAACAAAGCTTTCTACTGTGTAGTAGTTGCGTAAGTAACTCATTTCCCCCTTGTAGATACACAAACTGTAGATGCAGATGCTTCTTTTTCCATTTTCTCTCAAGAACTCTCTTAAAATAGAAGAGACTTTAGCCAGTGACATTTGTTTATATGTTTTATAAAATTTAAAATATCTGTTCAAATATCCTGCTTACATGCATTCTTATAAAATTGCTGGAATTTAACCATCACTGAAAAGCTGCTTTCTTTTCCTAGTTGAATTCTGACTCAGAGGGTTAAATTATCCCACTCAGTTCTTAGCATATTAGCATCACCTGTCTGTGCAAGGCTCCCTCTGGTTGGGCTGTCTCCTTATTTTTTTCTGGATCTTCAGGCATTTATATATCATGGGTATATAGGAGTCCTTTGTCAGTCATAAGTTGTGCAGATACCGTCTCCCATTCTGTAGCTGACCTTTTCATTCCCTTACCAGGGTCTTTTGATGAACAGAAGTTCTTAATTTTAAAATCTAGTTTTCAGTCTTTTCCTTTTTATGTTTAAGAAATCCTTGCCTACCTCCAGAGGTTCCTCTTTTTTTGTGGTTTAGTGATCTTCATCTGATTCTCCACTCCCTTTCCCTCCCTGCCAACTAATCATAATCATTCTAATGTGTTTAGTATCTATGTTATTTCATTTTTGTGTGTTGTTGTAAAGTATGTATTACGTGCTTATGTATTTTTAATTTTCGTAAATGGTATTGTATTGCAGATCTCGTTTCTTTTTTCACTTAGCATCTGTGTTTAAGATTCATCATATTACTGGGGTGCCTGGGTGGCTCAGTGGGTTAAGCGTCTGCCTTGGCTCAGGTCATGATCCCGGGGTCCTGGGATCGAGCTCGGCGTCGGGCTCCCTGCTCAGTGCAGAGCCTGCTTGCCTCTCCCCCTCCCCCACGTGTGCTCTGTCTTGCACGCTCAAATAAATAAATAAAATCTTTTTAAAAAAAAGATTCATCATGTTACTGTGCCCCAATTAGATGTACGCATATTGCCTACAGCTCTGCTACTGCACATAAGCCTGGACAAACGTCTTTGCACGTAACCCTTTACAGATCTCTGTTCGTAGACCCCAGATTCTCACTTCTGGGTATTAGGGTATGCAGGTACAGGCATTTTGGGCTTAACTCAGTAACTGGTTCCTGAACATCACATGCTCTAAGTGGAAATTTCAACTAGGAGTCATTACTTACTCTTTTAAATGGAAAAATTTGTACAATTCATTGTCAGTCAACTCAAAACCCTGAACCTGTTTCCTGCAACATAACAAATTTACTAAAGCCCTATACGTAAATAACATTCTAGCTTGTTAGGATGTAAAATGCTTAAAACATCACTTTCTAGTCGCCAGGTGTTGTGGTTATTGACAAATAGTTGCGCCTGCGCAGTGCGTCTCTTTCGCTCTGGGCTAGGCCCTAGTTTGCTGTGACTTGGCTGAACAAGACGCACCAAGGAGGTCGGAATCGTGGGTAAATATGGGGCCCGTTTGGGTGCCTCCCTTAGGAAAACGGTGAAGAAGATTGAAATGAGCCAGCATGCCAAGTACGCTTGCTCTTTCTGTGGCAAAACCACAATGAGAAGATGAGCTGTGGGGATCTGGCACTGTTGTTCCTGCCTGAAAACCGTCAACGGTGGCGCCTGGACCGACCACACCACTTCCGCCGTCCCGGTAAAGTCCGCCGTCGGACGACTGAAGGAGTTGAAAGGCCAGCAGAAGCTCCGCCATTTGAAACATTGCTAGCCTGTAATAAATGGGTTAATTTATGTAACAAAATTACCTTGGCTTGTTAGATTTATGACTTAGATGTTCCAATTTGCGTTGCATTAATTTTGCTTTCTCAAAAAGACTTGGAAATTAAAAATCTTATTTTTTATGGGGCTAGGGGAGGAAACAAGTTGTTGCTTAGAATGCACTAATAAGAACAGTTTGCCTGCCTTCCTGTAACTTCCAAAGGAAGGCAGTGGCCCCATGGAGGATGGTGCTAGGATGCCCTCTCTGCACCAGCAGCTTTGGGAGCTGCACGTCACCTTTGACACTCCATGCTTTCCAAAGTGCTTATGCAATTATGACTACTTGCTGTTCTAACAAGTGTATTTGGAGTGTAATTTGAGACTTCCTGCACATCATTTTGTTAAAAATGTATTAGACTTCTACTTTCTAGTTCTGTGCACAAGGAGCTTAGAAATCAACTCTGTCCTAACAATAAGTAAAAAGCTGAAGAGACTGAAGAATCAACAACTCTTAAATCCATGAGGGAAGACACAGTGCCCCCAAGATGGGAGAGCCAGGTGAATGCGGGGATACACTGCTTACCAGAGACTCAGAGCAAAAGTCATTCAGGAGTGCTGGCATAGGGAAACCTGAACTTTAATTGGCCATTGCTGGAGGCTCAGTGCGGATAACTCTGAGAGAATTAGAATGTTCTGAGGGACTGTGGTATGGGGTGGGGGGCCCACAGTATTTTGAAGTTTGCCTCCAGGAGCTTGACACGATTGGCACAGTAAATACCGAAAGAAAATGTGTTGTCGACAAGAAACTCACTTTAAATATAAAGACACATGGGGCACCTGGGTGGCTCAGCCGGTTAAGCATCAGACCCTTGATATTGGCTTAGGGCACGATCTTAGGGTCCTGGGATCCACCACCCCCATCAGCTCTGGGCTCAGCGGGGAGTCTGCTTGTCTCCCTCTCTCTCTCTGCCCCTTCCCCCTGCTTGCGCCCATGCACGCTCGCACGCTCTCTCTCTCTCTCAAATAAATCTTAAAAAAAAAAAAAGACATCTACAATAAAAGTAAATGGTTAAAGACATGCCGTGCTAACACTAAAAACAAGCAAGCGTAGCTCTATTAATTTCAGACAGAGCAGACTTCAAAGTAAGGGAAGTGATCAGGGATATAGAAGGACACCGCATGATGATAAAGAAGTCAGCTCTCCAAGAAGACATAACAATCCTTTATGTGTATGCACCCAACAACAGAACATCAAACTGTGTGAGACAAAACCCAACAGAACTGCAAGGAGAAGTAGATGAGTTCACTATCATGGTAGGGGACCTCAAGACCTTTCAGAAATGGACCTATCCAGCAAGCAGAGAGCCAGTAAGGACATGATGGAATGCAACACCACCATCAATCAACTGGATATAATTGACATCTATAGACTACATCATCTAATAGTAAAGTGCACATGTTCCCCTGCCCTCTCAAGCTCCTGTAGAACATTCACCAAGGTAGACCACATTCTGGGCCATAACACTTGAATAAATTTGAAAGAATAGAAATCATGCAATGTCTGCTTTTATTTTTTTAAGATTTTATTTATTTATTTGATAGACACAGCGAGAGAGGGGGAACACAAGCAGGGCGAGTGGGAGAGGGAGGAGCAGGCTTTCTGCAGAGCAGGGAGCCCAATGTGGGACTCGATCTCAGGACCCTGGGATCACGACCTGAGCCGAAGGCAGACACTTAGCGACTGAGCTACCCAGGCACCCCAATGTCTACTTTTAGACCACAATGGAAATAAACTAGAAATCAATAACAAAGATAACTGAAAAATCCTCAAATATATGGAGATTAAACAACACACTTCTAAATATAGATGGGTCAAAGAAGAAATTTCAAAAGAAATTTTAAAATATTTTGAAATAATGAAAATTAAACACAACTTACCAAGAGTTGTGAGATGCAACAAAAGCACTGCTTAGAATGCATAACTTAAAAAGAGTGATCTAAAATTAGTAATCTAAGTTACCACCTTAGGAGACTTGGGGAAAAAAGAGCAAATTAAATCCAAAGTAAGCAGAAGAAAAGAAATAATGGAATTAAAGCAGAAATTAGTGAAATCAAAAACAGGAAATCAACAGAGAAAAATTAATGAAGCCAAAAGCTAGTTCTTTGAGAAGATCAATAAAATCGATAAGCCTCCAGCCAGGCTAGCTAAAAAAGAGAGCAGATACTAATTCTTAGTATCAGCAATGAAAGAAGGAACTTCATTACAAATTCCATGGAAGTTAAAAGGTTAATATTATAAACAATTCTGTGCCCACATATTTGATAACCTAATGAAATGGACCAATTCCTTGAAAGACACAAACTGTCAAAACTCATACAAGAACTTGAT